AGATGGTGTGATTGGCACAGGATAGAGCAGAGTTTAGGGCTGTTGTACAGAGGGTTGTTATGAGTCGCAAACGACTCAACAGCACATAACAACAACAACAACAACAACAACAACAACAACATTATAATTATTCCAGATTAAGAAATTATTTGTTCACCACACAGATTGGATAGTTAAGGAGAATGGATGCACCCCAGTTACACATCCTTCCTGATTTTGACCACGTAATGTTCCCTTGTTCCACTGAAACAACAGCTTCTTGATCTAGATATAGTTTCCATATAAGCACAATTGTGCATTCCAGGATTTCTATTCTTAATGTTACACATATTCTGTAATGATCCACACAGTCAAATGCCTTTCGTAGTGAATGCAATGCAAATAGACATTCTTCTGGTATCTCTGCTTTCAGTCAGTATTCATCTGACATCATCAGCTCTGGTGCCACAGCCTCTTCTAAACCCAGCTTGAACTTTAGGCAGTTCTATGTCAATGTACTGTTGTAGCTATTTTAGAATTGTCTTCAGCAATATTTTGCTTAAATATGATATTAATTATATTGTTAGATAATTTCCACAGTCAATTAGAATAAATTTTTTTGGGAATGGGGTAAATATTAATTTCTTCCAGTTATCCAGGAAGCTGTCTTCTAAATTTCTAGTTATAGGCTGGTGAGCATATCCAGGACCACACCTGGTAGTTAAAATATGTCAACTGGTATTGCATCTATTCCTTGGGCTTTATTTTTAGCCAGTGATTTTAGTACCACTTTACCTTCATCCTTTGTTACCATAAGCTCTTGATCATATAGTACTTCTTGAAATTTTTTCAGTGTCAACTAATTCTTTTTGGTAAGTGATTCTATGAATTCCTTTCTTCTTTTGATGTTTCCTGGAATGGTCAAGATCTTGCCCATAGCATCTCTCAGTGTTACAACTAAAGGCTTGGATTTTTCAATTCTTTCAGCTTGAGGAATGCTGAACCAGTTCTTCTTTTTATCCTTTGACTTCAGCTCTTTACTCGTTTCGGTATAACATTTTTCTTTGTCTTTTTGACAAAGCACTTTGTAATCTTTTGTTTAGCACCTTTCCCTTGATGCTCTAATGCAATTTTTATAGTTTCTTTTAACATCCATTTTGTCTTCTTCTTTCTTCTTTGTCTTTGTAGTGACCTTTTGTTCTCTTTGTGATGGTATTCTTGATGTCATTCCACTGTCTCTCTGATCTTCAATCATTAGCGCTCAATGTCTCAAGTTTGTTCTTGAGATGACTCTTACATTCAGGGAGAATAGAAAAGGAAGAAACTCTAATTACTAGAAACTGACTTTCCTTCAACTAATTCCCTAGCCCACAGTATCTTTCACTAAGCTTTGCTGGTCTCCAACCTTTCACTTTTCCCTGACACTGTCTACCTCACTGAGTATTAAAGGATTTGATCTCAATGTCACGATCAGAATAATATAATTTATGATAGAACTGAAAAGAGATTAATCTCTAGGTGTAGTTAATTTGTAAAAGATGCATTTTAGTATTTTATTTAGTGCTTTATGCATAAATTGTGGTCTGTTAAGTTTTGCTGTTGCAATAAATACATTTTATTTCAGCTTGGTCTTATATATTAAAGAACTGTGTGTTGTTTTTTTCTTTAAGAAAATATCTAATTTAAAATCTAGGTTTTTGTTGAAGAAGAATGGGAATCAAGATTGGAGGAAGACTTATCAACAATCTTTGTTATACAGCTGACACAGTTAAAATGAGAAATATGTAATACTTTTTCAAAAGATCAAATAATAAAACCTTCAGTATAGATTATATCTCAACATGAAGAAAACAAAAATTCTCACCACTGGATGGGTGGAGAAGAGATTGAAACTGTCATTGAATTAATCTTATTTGGATCCATAATTAACATACTTGATACTGGAGATCAGGAGATGTATTGCACTAAGAAAGTTGCAATTAGAGACCTCTCCAAATAATTGAGAAGCAGTGATATCAGTTTGAAGATTAGTACCTGATTAAAGCCATGATATTTTCAATCACTGGCTATGCTTCTGAGGGCTGGACAATGAATAAGGATATGAAATAAAGACTTGATGTCTTTGATTTGTGGTATTGGAGAAGAGCATTGAATATCTCATGGACTGCCAAAAGAACTAACATATATGTCGTGGAGAAAATGCAGCTGGAGTGATCCTTGGAGGCAAGATGACAAAGCTTCACCTCACATACCTTGGACATGTTGTTAGGAGAGGGTATTCCTTGGTATTGGACATCAGGCTTGAAAGGTGGAGGTTCACCAAAAGAGAGGAAATCCCTCAACCATATATATTGACACTGCAATGACACTGTAATGATTCCTGCAATGGGCTTGAGTATGTCAGAGATGAGGAGAATGGCACAGGATAGGACCGGATCAGATCTGATGTCATAGGATCGCTATAAACCATATTTGACTTGATGACACCTAACAACAACACAACATCCTCTTATTATTTCTAAAAGACATGTTTGCCACAAAGCCTTCTTTAATCTGTTAATGATTGCATTTATTTCTTCTACTTACCACAACTGTACTTGAGAGAAATATCAAAGAATGCAATTTACTTCTAATGATAACTCTTTTCTCATTCTAACTCAATAAACTATGGCTGGAGAAAGTTAGGTTAGACTACTTTTTAAAGTTGAAAATGAATGACATAATTTTCCTTTCTTTCCTATGTTAATTTTATGATTCCAAGTTTGTTGTTTATTTCCTCAAAGTCTAAATGGGAAAAGAAAGCAATAAGTTAAGGGACTAGTGCAGACAAAATGAAAAGAATAGAGAAAACAAGAAAACAAAAAGATATAGATAGAAGTAATATTTAATAGAAAAGGCAAATTATTAAACACTCCCTATGGACCAGGAAATATGAAAATAAATGAACACATGGGCATGTTGGCAGAAGGAACCAGTCAGTCCTTGAGGAGGGATATCATG